CCCCCCCCCCCCCCCCCCCGCGCCCCGCCTCCCCACTCACTGCCTGCCAGTCAGCCGGCTTGGGACCGTTTTTCCTCCCGCACATGTGTCTTGCATTCACCCCACGCTGGGCGGGGCGATAACAATAAAAGGGGTGGTGGGAGGGCGGGAGGGAGAGGGATGAATGAATGAGGGAGCAGGACGGTGTGGAGGTGCTGAAAACCACCTGCGTGTAATGACCGCACGCACAACTGTGTGCATCTTTGGATGCGGTGGATAATTACACGCGTACAAGCTGTGGAATACGCCATATCCAAGCACACAGACACGCACAGACAGACACCGCTCTTTCTATTTGTGTGCGCGGGGAGGGAGGGAAGTTGAGGGGCGTGCGTTTGTAGTCTCGCTTTCTTTTTTTTGGGGGGGGAGGGGGGCTCTCTCCCCGTGCGCGCACCTGAAGGAAAGCCACTGCCCTCGTTGACGAGGACTCCACCATTTTGTTGTATTCCATTCGATTCACATAATTCATGCTTTATTTTGTGTTGTGTTGCGTTGTGTTTTTGCGCCCATGTTGCGGCGCTGTGTGTCATTTTTTTTGCCCTCATGTCACTAACGCACACCGGCACTCTGACCTGCCCAAAGCACCGCCATCTCGCCAGTTGAAATAATGGGGGGAGCCAAGAAAAAAAAAAAAGAGGGAAAATCCAACGGAAGCAGCTGGCAAACGAGCAGACGGGCGCTGAGGGCAGTGATGAGACGCGTGTATAAATATAAAAAATACATTTCCGCATGAGTGTATGTGTGTGGTAAATTCGTTGCAGTTTGTAAGGCATGAAAGGGCATGGTAGAGAGAATGGAGCGAAAGAGGAATACATTCATTTTTGCTTTTGGGGAGAGGAGGGGGAGGTGGTAACGAGGTGTTAATAAGCGAAGTAGCCTTAGCTGAATTTTTTTTATGTGTGTGTGCGTTTGTAGAAGGAAAACACACCAGCGTGAGGAGGCAGCGGGTCCTTTTTTTTTTTTTTTCCTTTTTACTTTCGCTTTCCATGCTGTTATTCGCTGGTTCCCTTGTTAGCTGAGTTTAATGTAGTATGCGGGGGGTAAGTCTATGGGCAGGAAGTGTCTCTGAGCTTATTGCGGTGGGGAGAAGGTTTTTTTTCTCTTTATGCCTTCTGCCCTACAATCATCTTCTTTCCCCGTCGTAGCGAACAGGCGGTAAAAGAGGGGGGGGGGGGGTGATGCGGTAGCACGAAATTGGGAAATATTTATGGGCCTTTGATACATTTTTATTTATTTATTTCCTCTTTTGTGTGGCAGCGTTTATTGTGCCTGTGTGCTCTCTCCCGTCGCTTTTCTGTTCATTTCTCTCTTTTTTTTTTTCTCTTTGGCACACGCCGTTTCATGCCAGCTAGGCGACCACGCAGCACACACTCATGCATCGCATGCCGTACATGTCTTCAGTTTGCGGATGAGCACTTTTTGTGGCTGCCCGATGCCACGGGGGGAGGGGAGACGATTGTTTCTTCCGTACCGCTCTTGGCGTGTCGTGGATGATTGGCGAAAGGCCCGCGTGTGGGCCGGGCCGCCTGTTTTTTTTTTTCTTTTGGAGTGGAAAACGGTGCCTGCAGCAACAATGCGTGCCTGACGTTGTTTGGTTTCAGTGCGACTGGGCGTACTCGCGTGCCCCACGCCGCTGCGTCCATCTGCCGTTCCTCTTCTCGTGCTGACCTCCTGCCGTCATGCTGGCAGGGCGCTGTCTTTTGGCATTCTTCTCTTCTTGCGCACCATTTAACCTCTACCACCACATTTTCCTCCTGCACAGAGGGTGCCTTCCTCCACGTACCCTTTTTTTTTCCCCTCTCCCTCTTTTGGGGCATTCTCATTCTCGTGTTTTCATTCGACTTCTAATCCAGCACTGCCGTCTGGAGTGGCCTTTGCTGGTTTGCTGGTCGAAGAGATGTACTTTCCCTTTCGGGAGCGACGGTGAATGTGAGTCTCTGCAGCCCCCCTTCACTCAATTGCACATATGTATGACACATGTGTGTAACTATAAACAAATAAACACCTTTTTTTTTTTTTTTTTTTTGGCTGCTCTTCTTTAGAAATGTCGCTTTGTTACAATTCCCGCGGCCTGCTATTCAAATCTGTGTTTGTGCTTGTGGCAGTTTATTTTTGTTTCTTTGTGCTTTGGCCTGGGCACAATGCGAATAAGCAGGGTACACGATCGACACAAATTCATCAAGCAGCTCATGGATTGGGTGCTCAGATTAACGGTTCGCAGGGTTTTCAACTGGGTTGGAGCGGGAGGACATGTGGCCCGGGCGCTAGATTGATACATAAGTCATTGCTATCACGTTGCCGTACATTTGCCAATAGGAGAGGGTCTGTGTCTCTTGCGTTTTGCGATAGGATTCTTCGTCCTGGTCCTCCACCTTGTGGATTTTTTGTTGGGGGAAAATTCAAACAACCGCTGAGGCTGCTGGGCTTGTCCGAGTTAAAGCAACTGCGTGGGGACGGGCGTTTTGAGGCGTGTGCCTCTCGCCGGATGTACGACGGAGTGCAGAGCAACTCGACGCTTCACGCCGTCGACGTTGAGAACGGATCGAGCTTCGCGTTTGAGGTACGGCCGGCGTTGTGCCCGAGCTACCGATACGTTTCTCCGTTAGAGGCTCTGTCGATCTTGCACCATGCGAGCATCGGTCGCAACGGACACGGCATTATTGTTACTGGCGATTCAATGTTGCGGCAGTTGTTGCTCAGGCTGATGTTTTTTTTGCGTGGAGAGGAAGTGTTTGCGGAGCACGAATTTCACCGTGACGCGCTGTATGTTGTTTACGAGGATCGTGACGAGCTGATTCTTTCCTTTACCTGCGTCCATGCAGACCTGATTGAGACATACTTCCCCGGGTACCAGGGACATATGAAAAATAAAACCTCCTGTGCCCACTTTTTACAAAGTGAGCGTGTTGTTGCTATCTTCTTATATTTGTGGGATCCTCTTGTGAATGATTTTCGTGAGGATGCCTTTCGCATAAGGAGTCCACCCGTTCACTTGGCCTCCTTCATGTATTGGTGGCAGCGTGGGGAGGAACGCCTTGGTGGTCTAACCAGATATTTTCACCGCCTGAGAAGTCGAATGGTTTTTGACAAGAAGGCGTTTGGCGTACCAGCTACGAAATACGTGTTTTTCACAACGCCTAGGACGGAAGCTCTGCCTTCTTTTCTCTTTCCTGATGATCTGCGCCTGGAGAGAAACGCATTTGCATGGAAAAGCCTTCAGTCAATGGAGGAGGAGTTGGATACAGGAGGCTTTGGAACAGCGATGATGTCTTTGGTGGATTTTGCCGCCTTAGCGGATTTGCGACGTATAAGCCGAACGGATGATTTGATACATTTTATGTGCACTTGGAGGCCAAAGAGCCCACGGAAAGTGTCAAGTATGAAGACTGCTCATGTGACGTGCCAAGACCCTGTGAATTTGGCGGTGGTCCAGTGGACGCTGCATTTGCTGTGGACAGGGCTCTAGCCGCATGCTTTTCCGTGTCGTTGCCTTTTTCCTTGACTTTTATGAGGTGCGCAGGAGGTGTTAAGTTTTTGTTGCGTCTGCGAAGAGAAGCAATGGCTTTGGAAACGACCTGTTGTAATATGTACTTATTGGGACGCTTGTTTTTTTTTTGTTTTTTTTTTTTTGTGTGGGAATTTTGCGCGTGTTTTCTCATTATGGTAGGACCAGTGAAATAGTGGTGGCGCAGGTATGTGAGACTTTATTTTTCATTTTTTGAATATTTTAATCCTCCAATTGTACCCAACGGCCTCGGCGTCATGTGTTTTGAAGGCTTAGAAAAGGCAACCTTTGGGGTGTGGGATTACCCACATTATTAATAGGCTATACATGTATATATATATATATATGCATATGCATATGCATATGAGTATTTTATTTATTTCTTTATTTTGTTTGTGAACTTCTTAGCGGTAGATTAGGCTCTCCGCTCTCATAACAAACTCCCTTTTCTTCTTTTAGGAATTGGAGGACAATATTTGTTTTTGCGGCTTATTATCGCAGTTATCGTATTTCTCTCTCTCTCTCTCTCTGTGTGTGTGTGTGTGTGTGTGTGTGGATTTCTGGCTTTACGGAGTTTGTTTATTTTGTTTGTTGATGTGGATGGCCTTGCGTAATCATTCATACATGCAGCATTCCTTTTTTTTCTTAAAAAAAAAAACCCCGGGGATACCAATGTTAAGTCTTTTTTTTTTTTCTTGCGTGTCTATTGCGAGGTGCTGTCGCAAAGCAATGGAGGCGAAGTTGGAGGCTGTTGTCGCAGCTCTGCATGGACGATTTGATAAAAATGGGTCCTTCTCTCATCCATCGCATGCTTACGGTATTGCGTGGGAGTTGGTGAACGCCCTGGCTGCGACGGAGCGTCGGTGTCAGCTGCAGCGTCTCCTTTTGCTCTTCGAGGAGAATCGAGATGACTACACGGTGGGGCAAATTGTTTCCGCTGGGTCTTTGGTGCGTGCATGCGGCCTTTTGCTCGAGCACGACGTGTGGCGATGGGAGCGAGCGATGCATTCGATACTTGTGTCACACCCACCTTTTTCGAGGGATGTCGTCTCGTCCGTCTGTTTTTGCGTTGCGCAGATGGCAGTGTGCGGCGACTCCGTTGCGTTGATTGGAGTGGCTGGGGCATCGCTACAGAACACTGCTTTGGGTGAATCTTTGCCGGAGGAGGTTGCGAGTGAGCTGCTGGCGGAGTGTACCGACGTTCTTGTGAGGCGGCATCGGGAGGAAGAGGAGGAAAAGGAGGAAGGAGACACGAATGAGGGAAAGGACCCGAGAGGAAAATCTTCTTCACGCCGTGCGGCGCTGAGGGATGCGTTGATTGGGTACGCACTGGATGCGCTCTCGTGCAAACGTGGGGCTGAGGCACTGAGTTCTCTTCTTTCTTGTCGTGTGTTGATACCACTACTTCTCTCCGGCGGCCACCAGTCGCTTGAAAGCCACCAT